TGCTGCCAACTAGTGTTCAGAGGCTGAACTACAACATAAAAATGAACGGCTGGCTGGAAAGTTGACATTTTAAACCTTAATAAAAAATCGATACAGAGCTTTTTAATATCCATACAGTATCTGGGAATGAAATATCGCGATATTTCAGTGCATCGATATTTTCTTACACCACTAATGAAGAGTGGCGTTTGTTTATGAAATGGCGTCGATGCCACTCAGCAACTTGCAGCAGGTATTGCAGCTGCTTTGTCAGGATTTGATTGTAATCCTGGGTGAGTTCCATTCCCCGTTTTAGCAAATTCACTGACAGCAGCAAAGCCACACAGAACCTGCCATGGCAGCTGGAACGATGAGGCCATGTTGATGCTGAAGGCCTCAAAATGGGACTTGAGGCAGGTGTAACAACATCTGTCCGAGTTTTGGCAACAATAGCTTCCTTTGCTTGTGTTGCACGTGACTGAGGGTCATTGTGACCGTCCTCCTTTAACATCCATGATCATCATGTGCAGTGTTTCTGTCAAATGACAAGTCCAGCTAGTTCTTTACTCAGATACCACAGGATGGTGCGCATTTCAGGACATCCTCAGTTCTCAGTTTTCAGTAAAACGTCTATCAGCCTCCTGAAATGTGTGGTGGTGGACGTGGATGGTGATTTGATAGCATCAGTGTCATTCTGTGATAGTCGCACATTGATGACGTATGTGTAAGCCGCCAAAATTATATGTAAACTAGAAGCACTGGGAGAGTGCAAACCTCCGCCAAGTCCAATTTCCCCCATCCTGTAAGAGTTAATGCACAAAAGCAGAGACGGAAACACATTTGTCGAATAAGTTCTGACAAAGCAAACATTTAAGCAGGCAGTATGCACGGGATTTCTTCTTGGTGGAGTCCAATGTGAAAAAAACAACAAAAAAACAAAGTCAGACTGGTCACCCGACGTCATTGATGGTCAAACTGGTGTGGGATTAAGCTCCTAAGTTTTCATCAGTCACATTTCACCATGTAAAACGTCTGTTTTATCCCCCTTGTATGAGTTTGTAATGGTTTGACTCTCTTTATAAAGTGCTTCCTGGTACTGTCGGCTCATGAAGCGAGTGGGTCAGCTTGTAAATCAGCTTGTAAAATGTGGTGCAATTTGCATCTGTTGCTATCATAATCTTGTACATATTCCATGTCAAACAAACAAACAACCTCCGAGTCTGAAGTCCACCGCACCTGAGCGCGTCACTCCTCTTCCTCGGTTCTTCATCTCAGCTCAGGACTCAGAGTTAGCTTCCTCCAGTCAAACGACGACTTGTTTTGACACACAGAGTAACAACACTACTACAAACACTGCACACACACACTAACACACTCCAACACACATCTGGTCTAAAAAGTACCCCGCTACTAGCTTCCAAAATGCGCTCCAAATGCGTAAAAACGTGCGCATTATGGCAAGAATTATTCATCATTACATGTGGTTTTAACATTACTTTTATAAAGTTTGAAGTCCGTGCTGTCCAATCCAGTTCACTGTTTTTTACAGAAGCCCTTTGAAAGCATCACAGCTTTGCCGATCTCAGAGTGTTAAAAGAAAGAAAATGCCTGTGTCCGCATTGTGATCCGGAACATCACCAAAATTTAAAGGTGTGTTCCTTGGCCCAGTACACACAAGTGGTAAAAATATCATGACAATCCGTCCACAAGTTTTTGAGTAATGTTGTCCACAGAGAGAACGACAGACAGACGTGACCGAAAACATTACCTCACCCTTGGCGGAGGTCATAATAAAAATTACTGACAGTAGAGAAGCTTACAGAAAAGTTATTTCAGCAGCACTTTAAGCTGAGACCTGAAAATGACTCTTTTTATCTTGGTTTTACTGAAAACTGAGAATGTCCTAACCTGTACACCGTACCACAGATAAAAAAACAGGCTGAGCAGCAGTTCTTCATATTTTTCAAATCTTATAAAATTTCACCCAATTTATGTTTTCCTCAAATGGAACAAAAAAAAATGAAGAAGCAACTTGGAAAAGTAGGTTTGTATCATAGAACCACCCATGACCGTCATTATCATTTAATAAACCTTTCAAAATAAAATGCCTTGTTAGGAAGACTCTGGGACCCTTCAGGTGTTTCTCTGGTGTTCTCAGAGTAGACTTTGAATGTTTTAAATCAGTTTCCATCCTTGGTTTTCCTCTAATGTCTGGACTTTTAGTTTAATCTGTTCTCCTGCTGGAACTGAACACTCAGTTCTCACTGAATCCTTTCTCCCCCGGCCGTTTTTACACTCTTAACATCTGTGTGTGCGTGTGCGTGTGTGTGTGTGTGTGTGTGTGTGTGTGTGTGTGTGTGTGTGCGTGCGTGCTGCAGAGCTCGGGCTGAACTCACAGGTGACAGAGATGTTAAACGAGTGCGAGCAGCCCGGTTTGGTCCAGACTCTGGTGCTGCCCGAGGACGTGGCTCTGCGACACCTGCCTGCTCTCAACGTGGCCCACCGCCGCCTCGACTTCACCCGCCGCAGCGCCTCGCTCAGCCCCCTGCAGGAGGTGTGTGAGTCCACATCCACACAGGAGGCAGTTTATACACTCAGAATGAAGAACATTGGAAATACCTTCAAAAAAACCAAAGTATTTTACTTTACAGATGATCATTGTTTTTGTCTGGTTTGCTTGTTTTTGTTTGGAGAACTTTGTTCAGGTTCTTTTACAAAGGAGATTTTTTTTTTATAAAAACTGCTTTTGCGTAATTTAACAATAAATGTTTTTATAAAACCAGACAGAATCTGCTGAATGAAAACCTACATCTGCTCTTCAATACATGATTAGTTTAATATAAATCAAACATTTTCATGACTGTTGGTTTAAATAAAATCAACTTAAGCTTTGTAAGAAAAGTTGTTTTATGTAGTTAATTAATCTAAAGATTTTCCAAGAGAAATTGGTGTGTTTTGGAAACACAAAATAAAAATAATCATCTTCACCATCTGCAGTGTTAAAATGTGTTTAAAACTGCCCGTGTAACAAGTACACAATGAGGACGACGGCTTGGAGAACAGACAAAATAGTTTGGTTTAAATTTGTGGATTAAAGATCCTCTAGAAAACTTGTTAAATTAAATGTTTAATTTTTTCTATAAAAACAGATGACTAAACAGACCAAACTTTGTTGTTTTGTTTGTCTTCTCGCAGTGTGTGGTTCGAGTGTGTTGTATTCGCAGTTTCGGTCACTTCTTAACAAATCTCCAGGGCAACATTCTGCACTTCAACCCAGAAGCAGGGATCTTCACCAGCATCAGCCAGTCTGAGCAGGACAACCTGGGCCAGCAGGCCAAGGCCCAGTTCAAGATGGTGAGCAGAACCTGTTTTTATTCAAAATTAACACTTTGTGTCTTTGTTGATGTTTGTGTTCCTTCTTTGTTTATCATGTTGATCCAGGCTGAAGAAGAGGCTCGTAGAAACCGATTAATGAGGGATATGGCCCAACTTCGGCTGCAGGTTCTGTTCCTCTGTCACTGAGTCATTGTGTGTCTGTTGATACAGCCCAGATGATGCTTTTATTACCGTATCAAACACAAGAACAGACGGTCAGATTAATGTAAAGACCTGTTTTTGTTTCTGCCTGCAGTTAGAGGTGTCGCAGCTAGAGGGCAGCCTTCAGCAGCCTAAAGCTCAGTCGTCCATGTCTCCCTACCTGGTACCAGACACCGCTGCCCTCTGCCAGCATCTGAACCTCATCCGGCAGCTGGCTGGCAGTGGGTGCTTCATCATCATCATCCCTCGAACAGGTCGGTGCCCTGCTTTCACACGTGAAACAAACGGATAACAAGTGGCACATTTATCTGTTTAATGTGGAGTTTCAGCTCAGAGTTTCATGAACCCAGCTGAGATAAACATTAGATTAAACAGAGGTGTCAAGTAACTAAGCACAAATACTTTGTTACTTCACTTAAGTAGTAATTTTGGTTATTTATACTTTAGTGGAGTAATTATTTTTCAGCCCACTTTTTACTTCTACTTCTTACATTTTAATTCAATTATCTGTATTTTCTACTCCTTACTTTTTAAAAATGCAAAAAGTATTTCATTTCTATTTAACTTTGACTTGTTTTTATTCCATCTTTTCATTGTTCAGAAAAAAATAATAAATATAAATCTACCCAGACACATGGAGCCCATGGATAGAGTGAATTTGATTGTGGTTGATAAGAAGTGTAAATATAAACCAAGGGTGTAACTTTCTGAAGGACTGGTGTGGACATGTCCCCACCAACTTTGGCCGGACAGGGACAGTCCCCACCAATATTTGCACATCGTTTTTCTTTGCGTGCATCTACATTTCCTGACAGTAGATAGCAACAACTGCTGTGTCTACCTTTTTCCGAAAAAAAGAAAAAAAAATTACGCTGTGCCCGATCCCTTCCGCCCCCTCCTCCCTCCTGCTTCTCATCTCTCTCATATCACACTGCAGGAGCTGCTGGGAGCCTGCTACACCTTCCCCTTCACCCCTCCCTTCCTTTTCTCTGAAGTGCGAGGACACACACTCGCGTGCGCAGACACACGAATGCACACACACACACACACACACATATACACACTCACGCGCAGACACACATGCGCGCCCGCGTGCGGTGGGAGGCGTGCTAGCTGCCTGCTGTAAAACAACATGGTGGTCAGAGCTTCAGAGCTACTGGAGCAGGTAATGGTCTGATAACGTCCAGCTCTTGGAAAAACTTTATTCTTTACAAAAGGACCAAAAATAAGTCAAAAAGTAGGACAGGACAGTTATTTTTCTTATGAAAAGTTAGCTTGCTGCTAGTTATCTATCAGCTAACGTTAGCAATCACTTAGTTATTTACTTTATCTATTATTGAGGTTTTTTAACCAGTTAAACTGTATTTTAATGCTAAGATTGAGTCCAGGTCCACTCTGATGATATTTATTGATTCCCTGTTATAATTTACATTCATAAGTCACAGATTATTTCTCTAATTTAATCTACTAGCTTCATAATTTACACGTTATTTACTTGACTTTTTAAAGCTGACTGAATTCAGGTGGCAGTAAAAACAATACTTAATCTATCTGTTGATGTAGGAGCTGAATACAGAGAGTCAGAGGGTCTCAGGTAGGACAGAGGGTCTCAGGTAGGACAGAGGGTCTCAGGTAGGACAGAGGGTCTCAGGTA